TCATTCCTTGGTTGAGGGGCATTTAGGTTGTTTCCAGGTTCTGGCTATGACAAACAAAACTGCTATGAACATAGTTGAGCACATGTCTTTGTGGCACGCTTGAGCATCCTTTGTGTATATACCCAAAAGTGGTATTACTGGGTCTTAAGGAAGGTTGTTTCCTAATTTTCTGAGAAATCGCCACACTGACATCCAAAGGGGCTGTACCAGCTTGCATTCCCACTAGCAATGCAGGAGTGTTCCTTCCTTTTATCCTACAACCTCTTCAGCATAAATTGTCATCAGTGTTTTTGATCTTGGCCATTCTTACAAGTGTAAGATGGAAACTCAGAGTTATTTTGATTTACATTTCTCTGATGACTAAGACACTCCTTAGTTGAGACTAAGACACTCCTCTGTTGAGAGTTCTGTTTAGGTCTGTACTCCATTTTTTTTTTTACTGGATTATTTGTTCTTTTGATGACCAATTTATTGAGTTCTTTGTATATTTTGGAGCTCAGACCTCTGTCTGATGTGGGGTTGGAGAAGATCTTTTCTCTGGGGCCATTCTTATGTAAATCACCACAAATGCCTTGATGGTAAGTGGCAGAAACAAGTTAGAACTACAGTCTGCCTGGCTTAGCACATGTGCTATCTGCCACTCCTGCCCTTCTGTTGGGTGTCCTAACACTGCTAAGAGCCCGGTACTTTACAGGAGGGATGGGATCTGAGCACTTAGATGAATGACTTCAGGGTGACCTCAGTGACTGTTGTATAAAGGCTCAGGTGGAGCAGATATGTTTGAAAATTCACAGCCCCTCAGAACCCACAGGTGCTGTCTCTCCCAGAGCAGGGGTGCTCACATAGCTGGGAGAGAAAGGGTTGCTGAAGCCTGGAAGGTATACCTTTCAGGCCTGCTGACCTCAACCCATGACCCAGTCTCTGAGAGGGCAGGGAGGTACTCAGGGTACAAAGATTCTAAGATCTCCCCGTAACCTGCTCTTACTTGGTCCCACTCCTTCGGAAGGATTCTCTGTAAGCACCTGGGCAAGGCCCTGCTTCTTTTTCCTGAACTCTGATATGTTTTAGATGCGTCTCCCTCATAGGTCTGTGTAGTAAAGATCTGCAGTCAGCGGCAGTATTGGGAGAAGATGAACCTTTGATAGGTGGGACCTAGTTAGTTACTGGGGTGTACTTGTGAAGGGGGTCTTGAGGTCCTGACCCCTTTTCTCCTTTGTACCTGGCCATGGGGACAACAGGCCTCATCTGGCGAGCACCTTTGCATGATGGTCTATGCTGTCTTAGGTGTAAAGCAGGGAGTCAGTTGGTAATGGATTGAACTCTTCAAAATGGTGAGCTAAAATAAAACCTTATCTTCACCATATGGTGGATACTTATAAACCAGAAAACTTCCTGTTCAGAGGTGTGATTACAGCAGAGGCAAAGGCTATATCCTCAGTGTGTTTTCTTCTGTATGCTATTGGACTCTAAAATGTCTTTTTTAACCCCAACCAATATCAAGATAACACACTGCCAGAATGAACCAATGGGTGAAACAATAGAGTGGGACTTTGGCCAGGCATGAAAGTTCCAAGAGGATGCTGGTAAGGCTCAGGGACCAGTGAGTCTGTCAGTTGTTCCATGATGGTGGGCACAGACAATGACTGGGACAGTTGTTTGAACAGAATTCCTAGTCTTGGGTCCCCAGAAGAGCGTATGATACTCTGGAACACAAATATCATTTATCAGTTGATAAGTTGGTGGCTCATTCTTGTAATACCAGTGTTAGGGATGCTGAGGCAGGAGGATCACTGTAAGTTTTAGGCTACTTAGTGAGTTCCAGCATAACCTTGGTTACAGCATTAGACTGTGTTCGAAGAAAATAAAATGAAAAGAAAAGCCATTCATCAAGAGCCCCCTGAAGCACTCACTGTGTTCTGGCCTCGCTCTCCATACTCCGCTGAGATTGGACAGGCATAGAAAACATTTGTGTTTTCGGTACAGTGAGAAGCCAACACATCTCTGAAAGCATGAAAGAATGGCCTTCAGGACAGCCTGTGTTCTTCCTGGGTACCCTTACCTGTCCCTGTAGACAGGCAGGGTCTCTGTCGGCAATTCCCCCAAGGAGAAACAGTCAGTGGTACAATGGCATAACTGAATGAGGTCCCCCATCAACAGCTTCCTCCCGGGTCATCCATCATTGCCACTTGCCTGGTCCCTACTCTTGGAGGTGTCCAATATGGAGTTGAAGAGCTAAAAGGGTGAGTCCTCTGGCCCGAGTTTGCAGCAGGGCCTGGCAGAGGGTTCTTGGCTCGCCATGAAGAGCTGGTAGTATCAGCCCTCTGAGAGTACAGACAACCAGAGGCCCAGCCTTCCCTTCAAGTTGAAAATAGGATCATTGAGAAAAGCCTGGGACAAAAATAAAACTGTGTAGGAGGGACAGAACGGGTGTCAGGGATAAATCTAGCACACCAGAGGCCAAAATGTCACCACCTCCTCCACTAGGAGGGGCCTTTGGCCAGTTGTCTTGTCTTGGCTAAGAGGGCATTCCACACCGCCTACATTATAGCCCCCTGGGGCCCTTAGCCTGCTACTCACAAATATTTCTGTTTAGCTTTGTAAACAGCATTGGCAGGAGATGAACTCAAGGCATCCGGAAAGTCCTCAGTACCAAAGGGCACCTGACTCCTCACAAATCCTCCTTGAAAGATCTGTCAAAGCAAGAGTCCCAAAGTTGGGAGCCTTGCCATGTGCCTGTTGTCAGCCGAGACAGGAGGGCTTAGGCCTAGGAGCTTAGGCCAGTGTGGGCAATATACTGGAATGCTGTCTCAGAAAGAGGGGCTGAGGGCGCTGGAAAGAAATGTGGTGGGTGGTGAATCCAGGCCAGGTGTGGTGGTGCACAGCTTTAATCTCAGCACTTGGAAGAGAGAGGCGGGTGTTTATCTGTGAGCTCTAGGCTAGCCTGGTCTACACGACAAGCTCCCAGAAAGCCAGGGCTATATAGAGAGAGCCCATCTCTAAAAACAAATGAAACAAAAGAATTCAACAACAACAAAAAGGCGGTGAACCCAAGGTTGCCCGGATGTCAGCAGTCCTCCCGTGTAAAACAGGGACATGATGGTGCCCGTCTGAAAGGGGAGAAAATGAGAAGGGGTGTGGGCACTCGGAGCTTGGCGGCAGTGTCACAGGAGCCACTAGGAGCCGCAGCTGCAGATAAATGAGACACAGTTCCTCTGCCTCTGACCAGTGACTCCATCTTCCTCTATCACCTTCCCAAGGAAGGAACTCGTCTCGTCTTTTGGTTCTGCCAGCACAGAAGGCAGACGTGCACACTGCGAGAAAGCTGCTTTGGGAAGGAAACTCCATTCTAGTACTTTCTTCATTCTTGTTAAACATTGGGTTTTTGCAAAGGCTGGGAAGAAAAGAGGTCACCTGGCTAGGGAGCGAGTGGGTTGTTGAGCAGGCGTGAAGCCTGGACTTTGGGCTCCACATAAAAACGTTCTGATGTGGTGCTACACCTCTTGTAGTCCCAGGGCAGGGGAGGCAGAGGCAGCAGGGTTCCTGGGATTTGCTGGCCAGCCCATCTAGTCTACTGCTCAGTGGTTAAGAGTACTTACTGCCTGCTCTTCCAAAGGTCCTGAGTTAATTCCCAGCAAGGACATGGTGGCTCACAACCATCTGTAAGGAAATCTGGTGCCCTCTTGAGGAAGAGACCTGGTCTGTCATCCTCATCAACTTAGACCATGAAACCCAATATGGACAAGTTCAACAGAACCGCCATATACGCGCTGCCCATGGATGTTTCAGTACTGCCAGGGCATACATTTCAATTCATTCATTCATTCATTCATTCATTCCGTATAACCAGTGCGTTCCAGGACAATGAACAACCCTGTCTCAGAGGAGGTAGACAACATCCCCAAGGAGAGACACCTGAGATTGCCCTCTGGCCTCCATATTCCTGCACATACATGTGCACCTGCACCTGCTCATACATACATGGGGGGATAACAGAAAAAAAAAAGGCATTCATTGAGCCGGCTACTTAAGAATAAGTCTTGGGTCCTCTCAGTGCAGGTCTTGCCTTTTTCCTAAGGCTCCATTAAAACTCTCATTGCTTGCCTTTTTCTACAAGATCTTACTCTGAAAGACCAACCCAACAGGTTTGTTTATGCTAACATGTAGATGTTAACTGCTACAGTGCTTTATACGAGCTCAATTTTATAAGGAGATACATTCTCAGAGAAATAAAAAAAACTTTCAAAAGGATGAGTATGTGTATATGGTAAAAACAAAGGGCCTTCCCGGTGACTTCAAAAGCCACACTGCCATGCTCTGTGGCCTTGCTAAGCCTCAGGGGCCAAGCCATTTGGGTTTAGCAGACCAGCCTGAATAACCTTGTTTTGGAGACAGGGTCTCTTTAGGTAGTCCTGGCTGTCCTAGGTCTGAGCAACTTCAAAGCCCTCCATTTCCTTCCTGGAATCAGGAAAGTAGTCAGGGGTATGGTGTGTGTCAGGGGTGAGGCAGAGGTGTTAACCAGAGCCAAGGTACGCGAAGTAGGGAAGGGATGCTTCCTCCAACGGCCCTTCTCAAGGCACATGGCATGGTTAGAGAGAAGTAAGGGGCTGTTTCTTCAAGTATGACAACATTTTCATGTTGTGCAAAAGGGGTCTGGCCCTTTAGCCTTTTTTAGAGTACCTTCAAGCCTTCTCTAATTATGGGACATACTGGGTTATTGCCAGGATGTCTAAGAACTTCTCATCTCATGGACAGGTATAGGCAACTCGTATGCTGCTGTGACTCCATATTTACCTTTGGCCTGGGGCCAAAGAGTTAGGCAGCACTGGGGTGGATTCAGGTTTCTAGAGAGGGTCAGGGCTGGCAGCAGGGCCACACCCTCCTCACCACCAGCCATTCTAGTTCAGGAAGGTGTGATGTAAATAATGTCAACCATGAAGGGCCCACCCTCCATTAGCACCCGGGAAAAGGGCCCCAGAGCGGAACAGATGAATCACCGGCAGTCCAGGAACACAAACACCAGTATATTTTATGTGCACAATTATGAAAAGGAAGAGACAGACAAACAGACATAGCAGGCAATGGGCTCACACAATCAGTTATGTGCCTTTCTCAAGAGCTGTCCAGTTGGAAGACAGTCCTATCCACTTCAAAGGCCCTGTTCCAAAGCTGGGGCCTACAGCTCGTCCAGGTATGGATGGCCTCAGGGTGGGAGGCACTCCGTCGGCCTGATTCAGAGTTCACGATTAGGCCTCCCACCTGCCTCCTGCAGCAACGCTTTGCACAGCCCAGAGCTTCAGAAATAGATTCTCCCGTGAGCTGACCCACTCAGCAGCCTCCTGGGAGATCGGTCCATGAAGAGGGAGGGACCAGGACAAAAGGGACTCACAGACACTCCCTATGTATTATTGCTGTGAATAAGCACAGGCCATTGGGACTCTCTGGCATGAGAAGGCGACAGGGCACTGGGAGCCTAGCGTTCATCCAAAGCAACTCAACCATGCAGGGCCGCATACTCATAATATCTGCACCTCTGAGATGGTTGCTTTGGGCTCGGAACACCAGAGGTTCCAGAAACAGCCAGCGGACTCCCCACTGCTCAGAAGGGCTTGATTACCCAAACCTTTGTGCCCCCCCCCAAGCACTAAGGGGTTGGAGCCCTGAAGACAGGCAATAAAGCAAGAGTTGAAGTCTGGGCTACACATGGTGAGATCTGAGCCTGCAGGCCTGTGAGTAGCTTACCCTGGCTGGGGGACTGTGTGCCTACGAGGGACCATAGGAGAACGGGGGACCCGCATAAGCAGACCACGATGCTGAGTATTGCCAGGCAAGCAGCTTTGCTCCAGGAAACCGTCCTGACATAGGATTAAATCAGAGGATTGCCTGCGAGGCGACATCTGGAGCGCTGAGACCGGGGGCCCCCCAGGAGCTTTCTCTGGTTGAGAATTGGAGTCTTAATGCTGGGACACCTCAGCAAGCCACTGGATTCAGTTGTGAAGGTAGACGTGAGGTGGCCTAGAGAGGCGTTAGGATTCAGGGGTTTGAGATCACATGGAACTGGGGGAAGGGACCTACAAAATAAGGAATTCTCTCCACTTGTGGATGGAAAGCAACCACTCCCTTTGGAGGCCTGAACCCCTGTAACCCACAGACAGGGCCATGGAATCAGAGCTACAGTAAAACCCAAAGCAGCCAGTCCCCGCCCCCGAATGGTGTTTGGTGATGAGATACCTACTCGGGGAAACACTCCATTCTCCCCTGGCCCTGGCCAGAGAAAGCTGTGGGGAAAGATGCCACGGAAGGCTGAGTCTTTCTCCAGCGGCAGGACGTCCCACTGCTGGCCCTGGCCTGGTGCTGTCTGCATGCTTCAGACATGGGTCTCTCTCCCTGTGGTGCTGTCACCTTTTAAATGATCTGTAAGAAAGAAAAGGCCGACTTCTATCTCAGAGTCCCCAGGGCGGCCACGAGGTGACTGTCGTGTGGGATGGACCCTGGGCAGACTGACCTCATCCTTTCCAAGAGTAGAGGATAAAAATCAGGGGACCTGGAATAAGGATTTCACCTGTCCACTGCCTGCAATGGACCCAGCATGGGGGAACGCTAAGACGACTGAGCTGACAATACCCATGAGTGTGGCAGGGTTAATACTGTTTGAGGAACAAGCTCAAAGGGTCATTCCGGCCAGGGCTTTGTGGGAGGAGCAGCCCCGAGAGGTGGTTGCTGAGCTGAGGCTATGGTAGAACTCATCTTTTTTTCCAGGAAGAGGCTTCAAAGAGCCTTCTGCGGTCTGCTACATCTGCCTTGTTCCTCGTTGAGTCTCCAACTGGATCCCTGCTCCTCTGTCTCACAGGAAGCCATATTGACTGGCTTGCAGATAAACCAGAGTGGGCATCTAGAACCTAGAACTCTGCCTCCCTCCACTGTGGATCTATAGAATACTAGATGTACATGGGGAGGATAGTATGCATTTTCAGTAGGACCTCTGCAGGGAGGGGGCACCAGACCACCATCCCTGGGCCAGGGAGACAGGCTGCCTCTGGTCCCCCATCTGAAGGTGGAGGGAAGGTTCCAGGAAGGCAGGTGGGGTCCATTTTAGAGCCGAGCCTCCAGCCACTGCCGTGTTCTCTAGGGAGCTGGGAGAGGGGGAGGATCTGGTGACGACACAGAAGAGGGCTGCCTGCTAGTGGTAAGTGTCTTGAACATAAGAGAAAGGGGAAACACCACCGAACACACGGGATTGAAACCTCCAAAAGCCCAAGGTTGGTGGGAATCCAGCACCACAGGGGCCCCCAGAAGGCCAAGGGAGCAGCGTGGGGCCCTGGGGGAGGGAGAGGGGCCAAAGGGAGTTTCCCCAGCCCTTGCACAAGAGCAATGCCACCAAGCAGCCTACTGGCTGCTGGGTCTCTCTCAGGCTGCAGCTCAGAGGCCCTCGGGGAGGTATTGGTTGCAAGCAAGCACCTGAATATTGCCTAATGGGACCAGCCAAAGCCCAGCTGAAGCCAGGGGGCAGGTGGGGTGGTGGCCCCAACAGCAGCCAAGGCCTCTTCAGACCTTGCCTCTCACCTGTGAACCCAGAGTTCATGTCCCTTCGCCAGGACAGGCCTGCTGCTTCCAAAATCATCCATGAAGTCCAATTGTTTATTGCCCAGGCCCTAGCCCCCAGGATGGGTGGAGAGCCATGGACCAGTCCCAGTGTCCTTCTGCTGTCTGAATACCCAACTTCCCAACACCATCCCACTGCCCACCATATGTGGTTGCGTTTGCCCTACTGGGCTAAGGCCCAGTTGGGGGCAGGGCTTGTGCTGAACCAAGGGATAACCCCACCAGCTTGGTCTCTGTCCTTGAGTTCCTAGAAGAGACCCTAAGTCTTCACATTAGTCTTCTCACTCAGTCGGTCTTGACGTGGCCATTGGCCAGGGCTGGCGGACTGGCAGGCTCCCCGGGCTCTGCGTCCTTGTCAAAGCGTAGGCGGAGGGTGTTGCGGATAATAAACTGCTCCATAATGAGGGCCCCACAGAACCAGGGCACAGCGTACTCCAGGGTGATGAGACCCATGAAATCAAAGTCGAATTGGGAGTAGTCCCAGGGACAGGCGTTGAACTGGCGCAGAATGAAGCCGGTGGTGAACTCCCACAGGTAGGTCCAGAGCGTGTAGATGAGGCAGCGCACCAACAGAGGACAGCGGCCGCGCAGGCGCAGGTACATGCGCTCCACGATCAGGATGGAGGTGCCATAGATGAAGAGGGCCCACACGCTGGTGACCCCTGGGAACTTCCAGTTAAAATTCACCACGAACTCCCAGGCCGCCGTGAACATCACCTCGCAGAAGTATCCGTGGATGGCGTACAGGTACCAACGGGACAGCGCTGTAAGGGGCTCGGCAGAAGCCATGGTGACAACTTGGGCCTTCTACTGGGGATACAGGGAGACAGATGAGGGGAGCTATTTTGCACGGTTCCCTCCCTCCTGCTCCCCCTCAAATCTGCCTTCACCTTTCTCCATCCTCTTTAGTACCTAACCACAGTCCCAACCTTCTACCCTGTCACCTTGATTCCCTGTTCTCCCTTAGCCAGGCAGCCCGGGAAAAGACAGGAAGAAAGCCTAGCCCATTAGCTTCCTTTGAGAAACTCTACTCAAAGACTACGTGGAAATGTTTACTGAACTCCATAACATTCATGGGTATCTGAAGTCAGTTGAAGAATCAGCTGCCTTGACCCATAGGTCTTTCTCTTTCTCAGCAGGTGCATCGGGACCCTGTTTCTCCTCCTGCTTCTTCCCTAACTCTCTCTCTCTCTCTCTCTCTCTCTCTCTCTCTCATAAATACACAACACTAACAACTTTTGAGTCTCTTTCATGTATTTCTCTCTCATATATATGTATATAATATCAATATTATAGCTATATACCAACATTTTTCTAGTTTTAAGTATATGAATCAAGAGCATTAAGAACATTCATAATTCAATAATCATTACTGCCATGGCTTCCAGAACCCTTCTAACATCCCGAACAGAAATCTCTGCACCAGGCCTGGGATGTTGCCCAGTTGGTAGAGCTTGCCGAACACCATGCAAACTGGGTGTGGTGGTATATGCTTGTAATTCCAAAGAGGTAGAGGTAGGAGAATTAGGTCATCTTCAGCTACAGAGCAAATTCAAGGGCCAGCCTGAGCTACATTGAGCCTTGTCTCAGAAAAGAGAAGAACATCAATACTGTTAAATGCCAAACCCCCACTCCTTCTTCCTCCAGTTCCTGGCAGCCCAGGCTCTGTAAATTCAACAACTCTCATAATTTTTCTCATGTAGCTGACTTATTCAACTTAGTGTTGTGTCCTTCGGGCTTATGCAGGTTGTAGCCTGTATTGGAACAAATCCCCTTCTTTTGAAAGATGGAACTTTCACTGGCTGGAACATTCTGTGTCCCCACTGCTCATAGATGCCTGGATGGCTTCCGTTTTTGAACAGTGCTGTTACACATGAGTGAATAAGCATCCATTCAAGACCTGCTTCCAGCTTCTTTAGATCTGTACCTAGAAGTAGAAACACTAGGCTACATGGTAACATGTGGTAGCCTTCCTGAAGAACCTCTGTGCTGGGTAAGAGAGATGTCTTGTGGTTCAGAACACTTCCAGAGGTCTCAGGTTTAAATCTCAGCACCCGCATGGTGGCTGTCAACTGTCTGTGACTCCAGTTCTAGGGGCTCTGATACTCTTCTCTGGCCTCCGTGGGCACCAGGCACACATGTAGTCCACATACATACAAAACACAATACATAGCAAAATAAGCCCTCCAGAACCATGCCACTGCTGGATACATTTTACAGCCTCAGCAGAACAGGTATAAATTCCAGTTTCTTTGTATCACTGTCAACATTTGGTTTTTCTTTTCTCTGTAATGTCCACCCTAAACTAGATACCTACATATGATATCATTGTGGTCATGTTTTATTTTTAATTGCTACAGTAGATGGGATTTGGCGTGCCCTTTTCCACTTTCTCAAACCTCACTGCCAGTCTTCAAGGCCTGGCTTCCTCCCATCATGCTTCCCTAAAGCCTTGTCTGGCTCCTAGGCCTCCCTCTGTCTTAGAGGGTCTGGACCACTCAGGAGACCCATTATCAGAAGCCAGTCTGTTTACCTTTTGATGAACGAGCCCTTGTGATTCAACCAGCTCTCTAGCTCTCTGAGGGAACTCCCTGAGAGGGACTGCTTCACAGTTTTGCCAGCCAGCTATGGCCCCATGCCTTTCTTCTGTAAGAGTCTAAGGAGCACATCTTGTTTCTGCAGAGGGTAGTGGGGGGAGAACTCACAGTTTATCAAGAATGAGACGTTTTGTCTGCTACCGGTGGGCATCCAGCTTCACATCTGTCAGTCCTCCCTCCAAGGCAGGACAAGGGACAGAGGTTACCAAGGTGGCACCTGTGGTTTGCCTAGCTGATGGAGAATTCCAGCACCATCTTTTAGCTATGCAGGCCCCATTGCAATAATACTTATCCACCCTTGTGCCTTAATCACATTTTTAAAAACGTATTCTTAATTATAACTCATATGAAGTCAAGTGTGGTGGCATGGGCCTGTAATTCTAGCCCTTGGAAAGCTGAGATGGGAAGATTGCACATTCCAGGCCAGCCTGGGAGACATAGCAAGACCCTTTGTTGACACAGAAGAAGGGGCTGGGAGATCAGTTTGCATACCATGTAGAGGCCTTGCACTTATTCTCCAACCCTGTGTAAACCAGGCATGGTGATACATGTCTGCAATCCCAACACTTGGGAGTTGAAGGTTAGGGTTAGGAGTAGAGGCAGGAGGGTCAGAAGTTCAAGGTCATCCTTAGTTACACAGTGAGTTCCTATCCAGTCTGAGCTGCAGAAGATCTGAGAGAGAGAAGACGGGCACAGGGGGAGAGAGGAGGGAGAGGAGAAAGGGAAGAGAGGGGAAGGCGGATGTTTCACTCCTGTTTTATATGTGAGCCTGGGAGGGAACATCATCTGCCCCACATCCCCAGGGTCATAAACAGAAGAACTTAGACACGAGCCAGTTCTCAATCCTCACTTCAGACTGAGCCTCCTGCACAGACCCGTGTGCCTCCTGTCCCTTCCTCACTCGGAAACACGTAAGCCGTGCTCCCTCTCTACCCTGTTTCCTAATGAAACGTGATAGCATCCTTGGCCTGCCATTCAAGGCCCCAAATAAACCTCTTCCCCTTTATTCTCACCACTCCCTGTCGGAGTCTTGTTTATTCTATTTGGTATGCCTTCTCTCATCCCTACGAGCACAGCCCCAGAGTCTGGGTGATCTTTAGAACAAACCTCTCCTCTCCCAGCCACAAATCTTCTTTCTTCTCTGAATTTCCATAACAGCCCACCCATCTGATGCCAATTATTTTGCTAAATTCCATTGATAACTTTTAGTCCCAAGCCAGACCTTACCCACTTGGTCGACACAGCCTTGACCTCTTTCTTCAGTAATCCAGCTGGATTCCTTCTCTTTCCTGGACACCTCCTCCTGATGTCCTGTGGGCACCACAAGCTCTTTCTTAAATCAAACCCAGTATCTTCCCCAAAATCAGTTTCTCTCCTTTGACCCTTCCTGATTAATGGCTCCACCAAGTAACTGTTTAGAATTAAGAGGCCCCGACCTATGTGGTCAGGTTCATTGACACCTCACAGTGTGAATACAGGACTGCATTCAGCACAGAGATGATGGTAATTCTCAATCATTAGCAAATGCCCCCAACCCTATCCTAAATCACCCGTCATTCCTATTGTAGCTCAGGCACCTGCGGGTCAGATCTCAGCTGGCCTAAGACACGAAGCTGTGAGTCATCCGAGGCTCTGCTCTGTGCTCAGCTGGGGAGCTTAAATTAGGGTGACTATGCTCCATCAGTTTCTCGTCTTCCTCCTGGACCCAGTGAACTAGCACTTATCTCCTGGGAAGTGATAAGTCATAAGGCCGAGGACAAGCCAGGCCAACCGCACAAGTGTTTTTCACTCTGGCCAAGAGGAAGAAAGAAGGCAGGAGAGCACTGGTGTTTGTTCAGGGGTTCAGCGGGAGGTAAGGCAGAACTTCTAACGCTCTGTAGCACATTAAGTTAGCGATGGTTGATTGCAGTTCATTGTGCATCTCAAAATAACGAGTTGGGAGGATCGAGTTTGAGTGCTCTCAAGAAATGACTCATTGCTTCAGGTGATGTGCCAATTACTCTGATCTGATTGTACCTTGTGTTCAGGCATGGAAATGGCACATGATACTGCATACATATGAAAATTTACTATATGTCCCTTAAAGAGTTTTGTGTTTGGCAGGTCTGATGTATTCCAGTCTGGCTTTTGAATTCACTGTGTAGCCAAAGATAACCTTGAACTTTCTGATCCTCTTGCCTCTCCCTACCAAGGGCTGGGATTACAGGCGGGTGTCACTGCACAGTGCACAGTGATGCAATGGGAATCAAATCAGTGGCTTCCTGTATGCTAGGCAAGCATTCAACTGAGCTATATCTCCTCCCCACATTCAAGGTATTTTTAATATTAAAATTATTTTAAAAAGTAAAAAGGCAGCCCCCCCTTTTTTAAAAGCCCTGCTTAAGGCATGGCTGTAAACATCTCATTGATCATAATAAATCATATGACAAAGCTACTAACCCTTGGACTTTGCATCTTTTGAATCTCTAGGGAATCTGTCTCCTCATTGCTGCTGTTTTGGTTCGACCATATCTCACAGGCAGCTCTAAAAGTCTCCCAGCCTTGTCTTGCCTACTTCCAGTTCAAATCCATAGCAAAAGTGTATAGAGAGAATGATCTTTCTAAAATGCCAGTCTGATGTTTCTCCCCATTAGGAGCCCATTAGTGGATCTTCAACATCAGCATCCCTCAGAGATAGCTGGCAAAGTCCTCCGGGGCCCAGCTCTGCCTCTGGATCCCAGCATCACTGTCTTTGCTGGGATGCCCTTCCTGTTTGCTGCCTTTGCACCCTGTTAACCCACCCCTACCTGCCACCGTACATGAACCTGTCATTCTGCAAGGCTCAAGTGCTGTCCCCTGACCTGTGCGCCACCCCCATGCACCTTGTTCGTCTGTCCCAACAGCTGACCCCCCACTTTGCTATGATCCCTCTACAGCTAGCACAAGTTATCACCTGAGGAACATTTCACACAGTGCGAAGAGAAAATGCAGGACATGAAGCTGTGTACGTAACATTGGATTTCACGAAGGTGTTTTCTCGTGTATAAGTGCAAAACATTCAGCACAAATTGTCTCTGGGTGAGATTATATATGAGTCTTCATTATATTTTTCCACATATTCTAAACTTGACAAATAAGCAGATCCAAGGAAACCTGAAGTCATGTAAAACTGATGTAGGTTTTTTCCTCCTGTGCCATCCTCAATACAATTCACAGCTTAGATGTGAACAGTGTAGTGACCGAACTCAGGAACCTTACATCCATTTGGCCAGAGTCCTGCCTGATAGCCCAAACCCGTGAGATCCTTGGCAAGCTACCTCACTGCACTGCCTCAGTTTCCTTTTAAATAAAGCAGGAATAATATAAATGATGACCAATTATTGTGAGGATGGGCTATCCAGCTACTACTAAACACTGCAAATAAGAGCTAGAGAAATGTCTCAGGATAAGATCGTTCGCCGTTCTTGCAGAGGGCTAGAGTCAGTATCCAGCATCCACATGGTGGCTCACAACTGGTTACAATTCAAGTTCCCGAGGGTCCAACATCCTCTTCTATCCTCTTCAGTAACTTCATGTATACGGTATACTTATATACACGCAGGCAAACACTTACAAATATAAAGTTTAAAAAAACAAAATCTTAAAAAAACACACACGTGAATATTCCTGCCAAGATCATGTCCTTTCTGGCACACCTTCCCTTGCTCCTAGGGGCATGGTGACACCACTTCAGGCAGTGTCACCATGCCCCTGCCCTAGCCAGCCTGCTGGCAGCCTTCCCCTCTCGGCAGGCTTACAGCACTGAGCCACCGAACCAGGAAACCCTGTGAAACAATAGTCCCACACATCTCTCTAGCCTGGGAGAGCAAATGTGAGGTCGCTGCTTCCCTGTGGCTGCCCATAGCTGAATTAAGAGGAAAGGGCAGCCCTGGGGGTCAGGCTTGAAGCTGGGATAGACTGAAAGAGCAGACCTTCCCAGCACAGCCTTGCAAATCTCCACTGTTTTGTAAATTTCCTCCACAGACCGAGAAAGAACAGACTTGGGCCACAGGGAAAAGGAAGGAGGGGCTGACAGGCTTAAGGCACATGGCCAGGCACACAGTTCCAAGACCACTGGGCCTCCTAAGCTGACTCAAGCCCCTTTGAACTCAGGTCTGTCCACTTGCCCTGCACTCAAGCCCCTGATTCCTCTCTAGGCAGGGGATCCTGGGATGGGGAGTTTCCCATTCAGAGGTCTCCCCCAAGGTAGCTTGATATGACTATGTGGATCTTCTTACAAGCCAATGGGTGTGTGTGTAGTGATCAAACCCAGGACCTTGTACATGCTAGGCAAGTGTCCTGCTACTACACTCCTTCCCCAGCCCAGTCCTCCCCCTTCTTCACATTGACTTTAAATCCTGTTCTGCTTGTCTCTGGTCTCTCCTTCCTAGAATGGCCAAGAATGGTTTCTCTCCTGGGAACCACCAGCTCTGGCTTTCCCAGGTGGCCTGGAGGAACTGGACCTCATAACTTCATCAGCAGGAGAAAGATGATAGGAGCTCGTGTCTAAGGAAGAGAGGAACCTAGGACCAAAGGGGGCCAGCTCGGGAAGAAAGGGGGAGGACAAACAGGGAACGAAGGGAGTCCCAGGCACCGTTCCGTTTCTGGGCAGAAGACGCACTTGGGCAGATGGAGGGCAAGCATACCTAGGCAAGGTCAAACCTTGACCAAGGGTTGGTGGCAGGAGAACACAGCTGGTCCACACAGAATGAATGTGGGCAATGAGAGACCTGGCTGGGGTGGAAGACAGGGTGGAGACAAAAGAATACAAGAGTCTTTTGGGTTGGGATTCAGCTCTGTGTGGTGGTGGGGGGTGCTTGAATGAAAGGTAGATGATGCTGGCTTGAGAACATTTCAAAACATCACCCTCGACTCCCATGTCCAATAGCCGTAGGTGCTGTGCCTGAGTTTGTGTCTAAGAAAGGCTCCTCCCACCCTCTCATCCCACACTCCACTGGGTCCACCAGGCCCACTCCTGGTTCTGCCCTCCCTCCACCTGGCCTCCTTTACCCTTGTGCCCCCTTTCCATAACTCCTTGCTCAGTTCTGGAACCAGAGCCCCGAGAAAGTCTACGACAGGAGGCAGCCGTTCTGTGGATGGCAGCCTCCTCCTCCTGGTGATAAGCACCCCCATTCTAAAGACCATGACATAAAGACGGGACAGCCTAAAGGGAATCAGGGTGGCACAGAGGAGTTTGTGACCAGGGTTGGCAGCATGGGGAAAGGATTTGGAAAGTGTGGGTGGTTCACCCTACTTATGCTTGTTGGTGAAAGAATAGGATCCCTGAGAAGAATCAGAACTCAAGTGGTTTGTTAAGTGGTGTGGTAAAGGGAGCTGTCTTCTTGCATCCTGTCCCTAGAAGCTTCACCTGAAGCTCTCAGAGTCTGCTGAACTCTAACATACATTCTGGGCATTACACAGAATGGGCAATGGAGACAGGTGAATAAGCCTTAAGAGACCAGGATAAGCAAAACCAGATGGAATGGCCACCTTTGGTTTTCCCATAAATTCTCTTCTTATTTCAGGAAGTGAAGATGCGGTAATACAATGGCTCTGGGGATTTCTGCCCAGGGGAGCATCTTGCTAGGCTTGAACGGCATCCCATTCTCTGCCTGGGCTTTACTCCTCACACCCAGGCACCCAAATCACTACAATTCCATGCTCTGAGGAGCCACACAGTCCATCTAAGAGCTCTCTGGGCAAAGGTCTTGAGTTCTGTCCCTAGCAGGATTGGGACGGAGGGTCAGAGGAGTCAGTGGTGGGGGAGGGCGAGCACTCTACATCTGAGCTACTGCCAGATCTGAAATGTCCATGGGCTTCCCTTGTCATCAGGTAGAGGAAGGAACACAGACACACTTCAGGGACAGAATGGGCCAAGGGAAGCCAGTTCCTGTGGCCAGTGGCTAGCCCAGATGCCACCAACTTCTACCCTTCTTTCCCTTCACAGGCCCCTGGGATCAGTGACACTGAAGGTCTTGATGAGGAAGTCCCCTTACCTCTCAAATAACAAATACCAGGTGTTCTCAGCACTTTCCATGTTTTAACTCGGAATTCTGAAGCTCGTTTTACAAAGAGGGAGAAAAGAGGCAGAAAGAGGCTAAATCATTAGCCTGTGTTCTCACAGCTTTAAATGGCTGGACTAGGAATTAAATCCTCATAAGTCTGGCTCCAGAGTCTTCATTCCTCCTAATCAGCACCCTGAG